AATGATTTCTAAAATCCAAGAAAAATGTCCCCTGAAATATACACTTGTGAGGTGCATGAAATGTTTAGATCCTAGGCAAATGTGTAATGACAAAGATTTTTGTGTAGAGAAATTGGAAAGAATACTTGGCATTCTTGTTGATCATAAAAAGAACAATGAGTTAGAATGTGACACAATAAAACATGAATTTTCTACATTTTTGACCCAAGATTTACCAGGATATTCTTCTTTGTTTAAAGATTTCAATTATAAAGAACAACGAGTTGATAATCTTTTCTATAACTGCTTCTCATCAAAACAACAATATAGTAACATTTGGTCTGTCATTCAGTTACTTTTAATCTTGTCACATGGACAAGCATCTGTTGAGCGTGGATTTTCTGTAAATAAAGAGGTCTATAAAGATAATATGGACGAAAAATCTTTTATTGCGCAAAGACAAGTCATAGATCATATTCAGTCTGTTGGGGGAGCTTTAAATGTTGACATAAATAAAAAAACTAGTCATGTCAGTCAGTTCTGCAAGACAAAACTATATGTCATTTTTGGATAAACAAAAAAATGACAGAGAAAAGGAGAAACTTTCATTGAAAAAACGATCCTTGTTAGAGGAAATTGATGAAATGAAAATTAAAAAACGCAGAATTAAAAGTGATTCAGGAGCTTTATTCATGTCTGCTGATGACTTGGCCAACAAGGCAGAGTCTGTTGGTTCTGTTACTGAAATCAGACATTTAATTGCAAAATCCAATAGCCACAGAGAACTGGACAAATTGGATGAAGAAATTATTAAAAAATTAAATGAAGATAAGTCAAACTAATTTAGTTAAAGTACTGGACATTGTTTTGTTCTCTGTTCTATTTTGGATTAATTTGTTTACAGTGAATAATTGAACTTTGTTTAAAGTACTTGATGCTTTAAGATAACATTTACTACTCAGATTGTAGCCCGACTTTTATTTGGTAATTTAAGTGAATACTGTTATTAATTAAAGTTTCATAATTTGCAAGAAGTTGATTTCTTGCATGACGATGTAGATTTAATTCATTAAACATGCATAGACAAACTTCAGTGCAATGCTCTAATTTTGGTCCTGGAAAATGCTCTTTTTGGTCCTGGAAAGTCATGGAATTTCATTCACATTTTAGTGTACGAACCCTGATTACAGGGCTGGCCACGAATAAATTGATGACAAGCAGATGACTGCTCACGCAAATTAAGGTTTGGGCGAGGAAGGCGAGCAATAAAAATTGCTCGCGCAAAATGTTGTTTGTGTGAGAACACATTTTGTAAGATTGTTTAAATTTAAAATCAATTTGTTGCCTGGATACTTGTTAAATACATAGTTTGTTCCTATTACATAGTTCATGATATCATTCGACACCTGTCCTTTTGTTGCCATTGTTTTAAGAAAATTACAATTCCTGGCACAGACTTTGCAGTAAACATGTGTAACCATCGCTTTCTGTTTTTGACAGTCATACTCTTCTTTAAAACCAATTTCTGTATGGATTTCTTCACCCTCATTGAGTCGACTGGCGTGGTTTCGAATCCCCGGTTGTACGTGACAAGGAGTAGGGTCGCCTGTCCAACCTCGTGGGTTTTCTCCGGGTCCTCCGGTTTCCTCCCACTGCTAAAGACCCCTACGCGCAAGCGAATTATTGAAATAAAATTAAAAACCATATGTTAGTCCCGAAATGACCTAGTTTGTGTCGAGTGGACGTTAAACCCCATTTCTCTCTCTCTCTCTCTTCACCCCACAACATAAATGTGGATAGGGCAATCGGGTTTCCTTTGGGCATTATTACGCTTAGATTGAAGATTATACGACTGCACAAAGGAATAAAAACCGAAGTTCTGATCAAATAAATACTGATAAATATTAGTTTGAAACGTGGTGATAAAAATTTGATTTTGGCGATAATGTTTTTTGGTACTGGCGATTCTTTTTGAGAACTGGCGGAAAAATCTAATCGTATTTATCCTGGATTAACCATTGAGTGTCAATCACATGGCGGGATACTGTAAATTAATCAACTGGCTGATAATCCGGATCGCGCCAATGAGAAATACTAATCAGTTGTCTTGGATTAATGATTAGTTGATTGATAATTGCCAATGATATATATTAAACCTTATCTCAAGTCATTATTTACTCCTAATGATTAATTCAAGCGGTGATTATTTTAGTTTTCGTTTCGTCTTTAAAAAAAAAATGGTAATACATGTTATCAAAATGGCCAACAATTCATTGCGAAGAGAATTAAATATTTTGATAGCTGAATTCGTTTACAGTGACGTCATATACGACATGTAAAAAATACAAGCATGCCTATTGGATATCATTATTTCAAATTATATTATCACCACTGGTCGGAAAACGTAAAAACGAGGTCGAAAACGTAAGAACAAGTTGAATAATGACGATTCTTGAGCGAGAAAACAGTTCGACATTTTTATCATATTACCGTCGACGAAACGCTCTAAAAGTTAACGGGGGGGGGGGGGGGCTGGAGTTCGGGTGTTCGATCCCTGCATTGGCCGTGAGTTATGGCCCTTGTTTCACTTTGTTGTTCCTTGTGAACGTTCAAACGACAAAAGTTATCATCCGATATGTATTAAATTTATATGCATTCTTTGAATTAGTAAAACGTAAAAGCCTGTTGAATTTCAACAATTTCAGTAGATTACTTCCAGAGTTACGGCCCTTGTTTTAGTTTTTAGAACCTTGTGAACCCTCAATCGACAAAAATTATAATGTCATCTGTATGAAATTGTCTATTAAATTCCCCTAATTACCTACAAAAGAATAAATATGCGACATCCCTTGTCGACTGCTTGTACGATTTAGCTGCTGTGGGCATATGTTTTGTTGCCTGGCAACCTATCTTTAAAGTTTTATATATTGATTATTGATTTGTATCTATTGGTAATTGTTTTATAATAATCCTAGCTGAGACCTAAAATTGTTAGTTGTCTTTTTTATCACACATTTTTGGCAGATAAAATATTCCAGTTGGCGGAAAAAAATATGAACATTTTTTTTATATAAAAATTATCATCCATTTTGGCGGAAAAAGAATGAAAGCCAGTGTGAGCCCTGTTTAGTAACATGACTTGACCTGAGTGGCGAGTAACTTCATTAGCCAATCAAATTCAAGGAGGAAATGCGGCGTGCACCTGGGTGAATCTGTTTGACAGACGAATTTATGACGTTATTGACATTGTTGGGTTAGTTTCGGCAATAAACTTGTCAATATTTTGATTATTGTCCCCCGCCTTTCGAAGAAAGCAGGGGACTATTAAAATGGGTTCGTCCGTCCGTCTGTCTGTCCGTCACACTTTTTGGGACACAATAACTCTCCTTCTAATTGACCTAGAATGTTCAAACTTGGTGTAGGTGTTTATTAGGGCAATGCCTTGATGGAGTTCGAAGATGAGCATTTTCTGCTTAGGGTAAGCAGAGATAAGCAATTTGATTGGTTGATGCTTTGGGACACGATAACTTTAGTTTTCATTAAGTGAGAGTGATGAAACTTGGTGTATAGTTTCATTACATCAATACCTTGACTAAGTTCGATAATGAGCATTTTCTGCTCAGGGTAAGCAGAGCGATAAGCAATTTGATTGGCCGAGACTTTGGAACACAATAACTCTCCTTCTAATTGAGCTAAAATTTTGATTATTGTCCCCCGCCTTTCGAAGAAAGCAGGGGACTATTAAAATGGGTTCGTCCGTCCGTCTGTCTGTCCGTCACACTTTTTGGGACACAATAACTCTCCTTCTTATTGACCTAGAATGTTCAAACTTGGTGTAGGTGTTTATTAGGGCAATGCCTTGATGGAGTTCGAAGATGAGCATTTTCTGCTTAGGGTAAGCAGAGATAAGCAATTTGATTGGTTGATGCTTTGGGACACGATAACTTTAGTTTTCATTAAGTGAGAGTGATGAAACTTGGTGTATAGTTTCATTACATCAATACCTTGAATAAGTTCGATAATGAGCATTTTCTGCTCAGGGTAAGCAGAGAGATAAGCAATTTGATTGGCCGAGACTTTGGAACACAATAACTCTCCTTCTAATTGAGCTAAAATGTTAAAACTTGGTGTAGGTGTTTATTAGATCAATGCCTTGATGGAGTGTGAAGATGAGCATTTTCTGTCTAGGGTAAGTAGAGATAAGCAATTTGATTGGTTGATGCTTTCGGACACGATAACTTTAGTTCTAATTAAGTGAGAGTGATGAAACTTGGTGTAGAGTTTCATTACATCCATACCTTGACTAAGTTCGATATTGAGCATTTTCTGCTCAGGGTAAGCAGAGTGATAAGCAATTTGATTGGCCGAGATTTTGGAACACAATAACTCTCCTAATTGAGCTAGAATGTTCAAACTTGGTGTAGGTGTTTATGAGGTCAATGCCTTGATAGAGTGCAAAGATGAGCATTTTCTGCTTATGGTAAGTAGAGATAGGCAATTTGATGGATTGATGCTTTGGGACACGATAACCTTAGTTCTAATTAAGTGCGAGTGATGAAACTTGGTGTATAGTTTCATTACATCAATACCTTGACTAAGTTCGATGATGAGAATTGTCTGCTTAGGCTAAGGAGCAATAAGCATTTTGATTGGTCAAGACTTTCGAACATAACAACTCTGCTTCTAATTGAGGTAGAATGTTTAAACTTGATGTAGATGTTCGTCTTGACTGAGTTCAATGATTAACATATTGAGCTAAAGCTAAGCAGAGATAAGCAATTTCCTGCTTTGGGACAAGATCTGATAGAGAGTGATGAAACTTAGTGTATAGTTGATAATCAGTTTGATTGCTTGATACTTTGGAAAAAAAATAGATGTGCGATTAATTAATATGTGTCATCTATTTATTTGGAGATCATCAGCCTCACTGTTGGCTTGTTTTAACAGATTTTTCTTCAAATTTTACGCTTCATGGCAAGCCCTGGGATTAAGCTAATAAAATTGTTTTATTTGTTTTTCAGCATTATTCTGGTTTAGATGAAGCCATCTATAAAAATATTGATGCCTGCAAGGAACTTGCGAAGACTACGAAATCAGCTTATGGTCCGCATGGTAATACATGTACCTTTGTAATTACTTGTTTAACGTAAAATAGTACAACATTTTCATGTGCACGTATACTGACCGCCATGGAAAATGCATCACTTAGTTTTTCGTATAACAAAATGATCCTGTAAACATATCTTATTTATTGTGCTTCTTATTGTGAATAATATTCAAATGGGAACACATGCATAACAACACATTTGTACACTTACGGATGTTTAATCTGTAATCAACGGTACAAAGTCAGAGGGGTCAAAACCAAAAGTACGACACAGATGTCAGTAGCGCGTGTGTCCTCCACGGGCTCGTACGCACGCTGTGCAGCGACGTTGCATGGAATTTACCAATGTTTGAAAGAAGGCCTGGGGCAAATTGTTCCATTCTTGGACAAGAGCAGCTTCTAAAGCAGCAATGGTGTGCATCTGTGGTCTCCGATACAGGCGGCGTCCAATCTCATCCAAGACATGTTCTATCGGTGCCATGTCCGGAGACATGGCTGGCCAGTCCAAGACATTGATGTTGTTAGCAGCCAGGTAGTCCATACTAAAACGGGCGGTATGCGGACGTGCATTATCCTGTTGGAAGTGCTGAAGTTGTGGGTGTGCTTGAAACATCGGAACAACAATTGGTTGCAAGACATCATCACGGTAGGCTACAGCATAAACGCTACCCCTGCAAATGTCAGTAGCGCGTGTGTCCTTCACGGGCTCTTACACACGCTGTGCAGCAACGTCGCATGGAATTTACCAATGTTTGAAAGAAGGCCTGGGGCAAATTGTTCCATTCTTGGACAAGAGCAGCTTCTAAAGAAGCAATGGTGTGCATCTGTGGTCTCCGATACAGACGGCATCCAATCTCATCCCAGACATGTTCTATCGGTATTCATGCGTATCGGACCATAACTTCCTGGAGGTCGGGTGTTCGATCCCTGCATTGGCCGAGAAAGTTCATCCAGATTTTCCGGCGTGGTTCCCCCTTGTCAGTGATGCAGGACGGAGGGCCTGACAAGGACAGCTGTCTAGTCTTTCGGATGAGACGAAAAACGAGGTCCCGTGTATACATTGGAATGCACGTAAAAGATCCCTTGGCAGTTGGAATTCGATATAAGAGTAGGCGATAGTGCCGCTGCCCGAGCAAAATTTCCCTCATAGCACACTTTATGGCGTATGCCCGTTTTCATTAGCCCAGCATAGGAGCAGAACAGTAGGACGTTAAACCCCATTTCATTTCATTTCATTTCATTTCCTGAATTATGGCCCCTGATTGTACGAAAAATCGCCTTTTTAGCTTGTGGACCCTATAGCAGTCAAATTTTTATCCGATTGAAAAAAAACATTGGAATATTTCACCGTTACACCCTAAGGATGGTTGAGTTGAATTTCGTAAAAATTGATCAGAAACTGACTGACAAAATGGCCGCCCCTCGTTCGCAAATAGTATCAAAATATTGTGTATCAGGGTTGAGGTCACAATTTTATCTGATTTTGATGAAACTTGAAATGCATGTTTATAACCCAAATATCTTGGTTCCTTTCCATTTTCATACATATCGAATCGTAACTTCCTGAATTATGACCCCTGATTGTACGAAAAAATCATATTTTTAGTTTTTGGTGAGGTCAATTTTAATATCCAATTTAAAAAAAAATTTCGAATATATAACAGTTACACCATAATTTTGTCCATGTTATAATTTCATGAAAATCGGACCAAAACTGCCGAACAAAATGGCCGCCCCTCATACGCAAATAGTGTAAACATCTGGTAACTTTCTGAATTATGGCCTCTGATTGTACGAAAAATCGCGTTTTTAGCTTGTGGTCCCTCTAGAGGTCACAATTATTATCCGATTTAAAAAAACGTATTATTATATCACCTTTACACCATAATGTTCAGTGAGTTTGAATTTCGTGAAAATCGGGCCAAAACTGCTGGACAAAATGGCCGCCACTCGTACGCCAATAGTGTAAACATCTGGTAAATCAAGGTTATGGACCCTCTAGAGGTCACAACTTTGATCCGATTTCGAAGAAACTTGAAATACATGTTTATAACCCAAGGATATTGGTTCCTTTTAATATTCGCGCATATCGGATCGTTTTATACGCCCACATTGAAATATGGACGTATATTGCTGTCGCCCCGCCTGTCTGTTCGTCCATCGTCAACAATTCCTTGTGAACGCTCCAACGCCAAAAGTTAGCACCCAATCTTTGTGAAATTTATATACATTATTAAGATTACTGAAACGAACAAGCCTATTGAATTTCAGCAATTTCCGTTTATTACGTCTAGAGTTATGGCCCTTGGTTTCACTTTATTGATCCTTGTGAATGCTCTAAGGCCAAAAGTTATCACCCGATCTTTGTGAAATTTATATGCACGATTTAAATTAGTGAAACGAAAAATTCTATTGAATTTCAGCAATTTACAATAATTACTTCTAGAGTTATTGCTCTTGTATCACTTTGTTAAACCTTGTTAATGCTTGATTTATGAAAGTTATCATCCGATATGTATGAAATTTATATGCATGAATTTCAGCAATTAAGTCAATAATTTCTAGAGTTATGGCGATTATGAACGTTTAAATGACAAAAGTGATCATGTGATCTGTATGAAATTTATATGCTTTATTTAAATTAGTAAAACGAAAAAGCCTGTCAAATTTCAACAATTTCTGTAGATTACTTCGAGAGTTGACACCCTTATTTCAGTTTGTAGACCCTTGTAAACCCTCAAACGACAACATTTATAATCTGATCTGCATGGAATTGTCTTGTAAAGGCCCCTATTACCTACAGTACACTTCAAGCGGAAGTACTAAATTTCCCCGAGGTCCGACCTGGGCGGAAATGAAAATTCGCGAACGTCAGTTCATAAATTTCTCTCTGGCCACGCTCAAAATTCCGCTCTAAATTTCCTCCGAGAATTTAAATAAAACGCTGACCTCCGCGATTATTTTAAACCGCCGACCACCGCGTAATTTTAAAAAGTCAGACTTTCTACGCATGTACAGTCGGTTTGAAATGTGTTTATTTATCGTGCGATTCCACGGCAGTGATATCGTAGTCGAATATTGGCTAATACGGCATGCCAAAAGAAAGATTGTTAATTTAACACAGTTAGACACGCAGATTTTACTGGCTTATATTGAAAAATAACAAAAATCAAACAGGCTTTTAAATAATAAAATAAACAGAATTATGGCTGTACCGATACATTACTTCATCAATATGTTTGACATTTTTAAGACTTTAAACACATGTGTTTAAACACATAGATGCTGGTCTTACCGTTAGCGAAAGTTTTGTCCATCGAAATAGCCATTTCCATTCTGACAAATATGTCACACAATGCATTTTTTAATTGATAAATCACACCCGAACAAGTAATATATGCCTTCATGTCCTGTTTTCAAGCACACATAGCCAGAAGTCACTGTCAACCATGCTGAACACGTGGTTGATTTCGGCACCAATGAGTCTGAGTCATGCATACTGGCAGTCAAGATTCCTAATTAATTACGTGAATTCACACGTGTCATCAAAAGGAATTGATAGTTGACTTTAATAGAAGCCCCTTTAACAACAAATTGTTACCATGTCGTATTCTTGTAAACAATACTTTTATTCTGAATTGTCAGTAAGTAATCATTATCCAAAATAGTTGACCTCATTATTAAAGAACAATTACAATTGGGACGCGACCAATCTAGATTTTCACACAAAATAGGTGCCGTTATCATGGCTAAATTACGAACGGGCTACGATGAATAGCACACCCTACACCATACAATATACATCATGTATTACCAGTAGGTTACAGGGGATTCTATTAATTTTATTTACGATATAACTCGGGATTTAAAAAAAGTGGATATAAAAGATAATTCAATTTTTGAATCGGTTTTTGTCTGCGATATCACCTCGGTGGAAGCGGACGTAAAATACAACTAACTAACAACAACATTGAATCGGTACAGACTTAAAGGTTGTCGTATGCACCGTGTGAAAAGAATACTTAATCATCATATTCGCAGTTGACATATTCTGTTAAATCATTCGTTGAACCGGTGGTGATATTTTTTTTTAATTTGGCACAAAAACCATCCCTTATATCGCACTGTGCCCCTTTAAGTCGGACTTTCCATGCATGTACAGTCAGCACATCCGTATATGTAAATGTTTTAAAATAGCTAGGTTTATTTATAGTGCAATTGCACCGCAGTCATCGTATCGTAGTCGAATATCAGCTAATACGGCATGCAAAAAAAGATTTTTAATTTAACACGGTTAGACACGCAGATTTTGCTGTCTTACATTGAAAATATAACAAATATCAAAAATTGGCAGGCTTTTATATAATATAATAAACAGAGTTATTGCTGTACGATACATTACTTCATCAATATTTTCGACATTTTTAAGACATTCAAACTCATTCAAATTACGAAAATTTCAAAATTTACACACATAGATGCTGGTCTTACCGTGGGCGAAAGTTTTGTCCATTAAAATATCCATTCCCATTCTGACAAATAAGTTTCACAATGCATTGTAAATCGGTAAATCACACCTGAAGTAATATATCTTCAGATTTAAATCACAAATGAATTAAATGCACACCTCGCCAGAAGTCAACGCCAACCTTGATGCTACAGGTACATGTACATTAACACATATCGGTTGGATAATACCATGATGACCTATTCATTTCGGCACCAAAGACTCTAGAGTCAATGCATACTGTCAATCAAGTTTCCAAATTACGTGAATTCGCACATGTCATCAAAATGAATTGATAATTGACTATAATAGAAGCCCCATTAACAACAAATTGTTACCATGTCGTAGTCTTGCAGACAATACTTTCATTCTGAATTGTCAGTAAGTAATCATTACCCAAAATAGTTGACCTCATCAAAAAAGAATAATTACAATTGGGACGCGAACAAACTGGATTTTCACACTTAATAGGTGCGGTTGTCACGGCTAAATTACGAA